TGAGAGGCCTTAAACGTCGTTCTCCCTTTATCTAGTGTGTTGGAATCACCAACTCAATTTCACATTGTATGTGAAAATAGCTCTCTTTTCTATAGTTTATAACTCATCTTTCAAGATGTACAATTTCATTGTTCAAATTTTGTAAGTAATCTCTTCCGATTTTTGCAATTGAATATTTAGATTTTACGACCGAACTCTTAAGATTTACAAAGCTTTCACAATTTATATTTACTTTTCAATTATGTTTTTAAATTGTTGCAACTAGCTTTTATAAAACAAAAATATCGATTGATATAATAAGGAAGTTTGGGTGGTCTTATTGTTTCCGCGTTGAACGACTTTAGTTTGTAATGATTGATAATTATGTTCTGTTCGATGATTGGCTGATCTTTCATGCCACATTCAATATGAAACGGAAAATGGAGGGCAAGATAGGTGCAAATAACTTTTTTTTTTTACCAAAAAACTTTTCTTATTCAAGTACATAAACTAGCTTCAACCCAAAAACAAAAATTGCCTCCTATAATTGTTAGCGAAAGTTTATGTATATTAAAAAATTGGAATTGTTAAGGTGTTATTTTTTTCAAGGCCCTAAAAAACTGTTATTAGCCTTTGTTTTGAAGGGAAAATTTACTCAGGTCCCTAAAAAACCGTTTGTATGGTTTTCACATCACATACTCAATTTTGATTTTTGTTGTTATGTTTGGCTTAATAGTATTTTGAGGATGTATTTGTAAAGAAATATAGTACATCTGACATTGAAGAAGTCCTCAAAGATTTGTCATATGATTTACTCAAGCAAAGGGTAAAACATTCACAAAGAAGATGAGTGATCACAACCATTAGCTTGCTCAATTTTGATTCTTTATACAGGTTTTTCATACTTAGACAAAATATACTTCCTTTAGCAAATTTTAGTTTTTGGTTAATTTTGGCGAATTTAAGTTGCAATATGTTTTAGGCAAATTTTTCCTTATAATTAATTTAGTATATATGAATTTTTTGACAATTTTGAAGTACCTTTAATTAGAAGTTATTATAGTTTTGAATAATTTTGGTTTTGATTGCATACAAATTTTGGATGAAATTGAAATTATATTTCTAGATTGCATTGCTGGAAATGTTTGTATTTTGTTATTTCAGGGGCTACTTGAAATGCAACCCCCATCTTTTTTTAAAAAAGGACTAAACGATATAGTTATATAGTCCGTATTTTAAAATAACTACTATATAGTTCATTATATTCAATGGTTATAACAAATAACCACTATGTAGACTGAACTATATGGTGGTTATTTCAAAATTACTGCTAAATAAGTTGTTGAGCAAACTTAAAAAGTTGACTAAAAATGGGCCTATCTATATGATGGTTATTCTCACAAAACCGTTGTACAATTGATTGATAGGTTCTCTGGAGCCAAAATTAAACTAGAGAAAATCTATAACAGTTTTTTTTTTGTGTAAATAACTATTATATAGATCTCAACTATATAGCTGCCTCTGGATTATATAGCACCAAAATATATAACCACTAAAATTGTTATATATTTGAAAAAATAACCTCTATATAGAGTTTTTTTAGTAGTGCCATCATTCAATTTCAAAAAAAAAAAACTACACTTGCAAAGAGAATAATGTGAATTTAAGTACAAAATGAATCAATGATAGTTCAACCTCAACCAAAAGGTCTCCAACAAGTATAGGAAGAAGAGTGAAACAAGAAAAATCAAGAAATGCATACAAAAACACAAAAACAACCAAGAAAAATCAAAACACAAAACAACTAGAAATCTATAAAGAAAAATAAGATAAATTTGGAAAACAAGGAAAAACGATGGGAATTTGGCTTTAAAATGCTAGGGCTAATAGACTTTGCCATTAGTTTTTATCAGAAGGCCGAAAAAACTTGGAATACCGAGTTATGGAATTTGTTGGGTCAAAACAGGGCACTTACAGAAAAAACAGTGAAAACCGATAAGCAAAATCAAGCCAAATGTGGAGTGGTATGTCCACGTGAACAGTGGTGAGTAGGGAAAAGATGCAAAGAAAAACGAATTAGACAAACTCAACAATAAACAATAAAAAAAGATCTATCATGGTGGAAAGAATTAAATATAATGATAACCTACCATGGTAATTTGGGAAGAAACTAAATCAATTAAACAAGCCAAATGGGTTCCCATTAAAAACCCCAAACAATGTTAGAAATCATAGCAAAGGGCATCCCAAGAAGGGACATGCACCGCAGCTATGAGGATGTACGCCACTGCACACAATGCAGAAAAGCATATGGCAGTTCTTAAGCAAAATACCAACTTCAAACAAGCACAACTTTCCCTATACAAATCCAATTTAAATAATTCAAGTGTCGACATCAAACTTATCATGAAATATAGCCAACGGCTTTAGCTTGGTACAAAATATGTTCATATAATGATTTTATCCATAAAAACCCAATATGGATCCCAAAACACAATTATCAAATCTTCTAACTTTCCAAACAAAAACCAAAGCCAACTGGAGTGTTTGGGTTTTTTCTTCAAAATCATGGTTTGAATTGATATAATTGATTAATTAAGCATATCCAATGAGGCACTTAACAGAGACAAACACGTGAAGGCAATGGAATTCGCAAAATAGTTTTCAGAAAGCAAGTTAAATGAGGCCATTAGAGCAATCATTATGTCGTAAATCTAATAAAAAAAACATATAACAACAAAAAAGGTGAGTTAATATTTAGGAAAAAAACATAAATATTAGTTTCTATAGTTTTAACTTGTTTTGGTATAAGTCTTGTAGTTTTTTTTTTATTGTTTCATATCCCTCTATTTCTTAATATGCCCAAAAGAATGATAAGGTGGCACTAATGATGTTAAATATACTTACTTGTAATTAACGCCATTAATTTTTGTGCTAAGATGGAATTATATTTCAATAAATTGAAAACTTTAAACATGAAATAGAACATAGTGGGCAACGCTATTAATTACTCTCCTGAACCAAAATTCCACTTGGTACGGATTAATGGCTAGTCATGGATAAACATATTTAATACTATTAATATCATCTCATCATCCTTTTGGGTAGATTTAAAAATAAAGGGACTAATATTGCAAACAGAATAAACTAGAGAGACCTAGAGTAATAAAAAAAATTATAAAAACCTATACCAAAATATGTTAAAACTATAGAGACCAATAATTATATTTTTCCTAATATTTAATATTCCATATGGTGTGCTGTATGAAATTTATGGCCAAGCCGTTACAGGAAATTGAAAGGAGAAGAGAAGCACAAAATTAAAATAAAGTTCAAATAATTGATAGTTTTATAATTTAGTAGCATGCGAGCTCTCTTATAAGTGGGAAGTTATAGATTCAATTCTTATGGTAATCTCGCATTATTTGTGGAAGTGATGTTTTCTCACTACAAAAAGGCCTCCATTGATATCTTTTAAAAGTTAAATATAATAAAAGAAAGAAATCATCTCAAACAACTTGTGAAAAATATTATTTACAAATAAAATTAATAAAAAAGGGTTTGTTGTAAAAATGAGAACATCAACTTTTTTTTGGAATGATTATATGTCATTAATTTTTATCTGCGAATAACTTTCTTCCTAGGACTTTGAATGCGATGTTCCCTATATAAAAAGGATAATAACAATGTTTATAAATAAATTTAAAAGAAAATAAATATAGAGAACAAACTAATTGGAAATAAAATAATAATAATATAATCCATGAATATCATATTCTTCAAGCAAAACACAATAGAACTCAACTTATTTTAAAGGTTGTTCAACACTAGCCATTAATTGATCACCTGGCAACCATTATTCCAGCAGCTGGTGCATTCACAAACGTCCTTCAAATGTCAGGGTTGTTAAGGGAAATGAGTCAACTCAGATTAGTTAGCACTTCAGGAAAAAAGAAAAAAAGCTCCTTTTCCCCCCAATTTTAAGTAATTTTAATGGAAAATGAGGAACGTTTTCCTTTCTATATTACTTTTTATATTTTAGTTTCCTTGCTTTTTTTCCTTCCGATTTCTTAACTAGATGTTTACTTCCTATTGCTTTTTTTCTTTTGTCTTCCTTTAAGTTGTGTCCATTTCTTTTTCTTTTTTACCAACTTTGTTATTGCGTTTTTTCTTTTGTCATTTTCACTTTATCTTCTTTCCTGTTTTTCCTTTACTTTCTTTCTTTTGCTTTTTTCTTTAACTTCGTTTCTTTTGTCCTTTTTCTTCTATTTTTAATTGACAATTATTGCCCCCCTCTCTCTGTATATAAAAGTCCGGAAGCCAAGAAATTACCAGGTCAAGCAGAACACATTTATCTTTAAGCAGAACACATTTAATTGATCGCTTTCCTTCTCTTGTCCTCCTTTAAATATTGTTGATTTCTTTTTCTTATAATGGTTAACTCGATAACAAACCAATCATCTTGACTAATTCATCCTTCCAACAACCCCTCAGGTTGATCAGGATTGTCAACAGTGTTAATCACCTAGTTAATTTATAACCCTAAAATCTATATATAAAAAGGTCATGTATCATTTCATTGGAGTAGGAAATTTATTTGTGGTCTTATTCCACTCATTGCCTCACCCCCATAGGTTTGGGATTGTATATGACAAAAAGGTCTCTTTATACCATTTACGTTTGCCAATATATATATATATATATAATAGTTTTTAATTGGTATTTACAAATAACCGTTACATAGTTTGCTCCAGTTTTGAGTCCCATGAACCTTTCCTATATAAGGGTTTTCTGAAAATAACCATTATATACTTACCAAATATATAACAGTTATTTTAAAAAAATCGCTTGATAGTTTGCTACAACTTTTTTTTTTCCCTTTTTGGAGCTTAGCTCCAACAGTTAGTTGATTGAGAAATGTGATGTGTTTAGCTTTGGTGTTTTGCTGATGAGGTTCTCAAGGGGAAGCATCTAGGTGATCTAATTTCTAGCATACAGACATTTGGAGTTCAAAGCGTCAATTTAACAAAGATCCACTACAAAAAAATTGAAAGTTTTCAGCAGCGACAAAAAATCGTCACAATGTCGCCGCGAGAGCTCTTATCACTAATTCAATCTGCGGCAACAATAAAAGTTGTTGCTGAAAGTTAAGAATTGGCAACGACAAATGTCACCGCAGAAAAGAAAATTTGTCGCAGCCAAATGATAATAGCCACTAAAAGTTGAAAATCGACGGCGACATTTTGTTGCCGCAAAAACCACACATCAGTAGTGACTATTTTGTCACCACTAAATGTTAAGTATCAGTGGTAACATATGTCACCGCAAAAACCACCCATTAGCAGTGACTATTTTGTCACCACTAAATGTTAAGTATCAGTGGGGACATCTGTCACTGCGAAAGCTACCAATTAGCGGCAACTTTTTTGTCATTACTGAAAAGTAATGTTGGTTCACTTACACAAATGGCACCACATTACCATCCATGTGGCGCCATGTCACCCTCCATATAGGGCCCCACCTCGCACAACATGGTGCCATGTCATCCTTCACGTGTCGCTCTCACCACACACCATGTGTCATCATGTTACCACCTCGCACAACATGGTGCCATGTCATCCTTCACGTGTCGCTCTCACCACACACCATGTGTCATCATGTTACCAATTTATATTTTGCCACTGAGCTGGAATGAACCTGTAATCTATTATTGCATAATTAAATATATATATATATACACACACATATTATTAATGTAACACACCAAATTTTTTTAAAAAATAATTTAACTCAACCATAGTTGGGTTACAGCCACCCAACACATTTTTATATCAATAATTTTAATATAAAATATTTTATAATTAGCTTCAACTCACACATTATAACATTTCAGATAAATTTTTACCTCCCACATGCCATTAGGCTAAATCACATTTGTCCATCCTTATACTCCCAACAAGTAAACTAAATCACATTTGTCCATCCTTATACTCCCAACAAGTAAAATAAGCAATTTAGTCAATTTTCAATACAAGCCAGTTATTTGGCCTTATAATCATGCCATTTTAACCAATCCAAAATAAACCAAATATTAAAATTACAGTCATCCAAATTGTACCAAAAATAAAAATAGTTTGAAAGGCATGATTACATTTATATATTCATATAATTGACAATAAACAAAAAGCCCTAATATTGGCAATATAACACATTATAAATCATAAATTAAATACTCAAAAGAAACAGTGGATCTATACCACTAAGTCTCTGGGACTCCTCCACATGTCACTCGTGACTCTTTTCCTGAAAATTATTAACCACATAATGAGACTCAAAAGTCCCAGTAACCAAAGCTAATTTACGATAGTATATACAAATAATTAAGTGTGTGCTTACTAAGTGAAAATTAAAAATAATATAATTCCAACAAATATAAGAAATATTACAATACACACAAACAACCATTCTTATATCCCTCCATTAACCTCGAGCCGTAGCCCTCACTCAGTGCTAAATTACCCGGCCAAAGGTAGATTAGCCCGAGCCCTTACAAGCCACCTATTAAGCTCTAATAGGGGCGTATCACGTGGCACATAAATACAACAACAATAACAAGTCTCCCAACACCTCCCACAATAATCAAATAAATTCATAATAATATTGCACAATTATATAATATTACAAAATTTATAATTTTCTCAATAATCACCCAATTAACATGAAGTAACACAAATCACAAATTAAAAGCATGGTTACCTCGTGGCTTTTTCAATAAATTATTCCTTACAATTTCTCTCCCACTACAATCTTCACCAATAATACAATCTACAAATAACATATTATTTATAAATATTAGTTTCAATTTTTTTGAAACTAATAAAATAATTCTAATAATAGAATTAAAAATATAACATAATTCCTAATCTCAATCTTAATACAAATATAGAGTCAATACTATTAAGTAAAATTTTTAACTCCTCTTTTAATTATCAATAAATATTAATAATCTAAAAATTAGCTTCTAAACTAATTTCTATTATCAAAATTTTCTTTTTATTTCATAAATTCGCACCTAAAATATCCAAAAATTAAAAATTGAATCTCTAGCTTAGAATCATAATCCTATAGCCATAATAATTCATTTCTCATCCCAAATAATCATCTAAACCTCAATAAATCAACATATATTTTCAGATCTAGTTTAGAATTTGATCCATAAGCCACAAATTCAAAGATCATTCACAAATTTATACTCTAGAACATTTATTATACTACTGACAACCTCAAAAATCATATTTATTCAACATAAATTCATCCCTCTTCCAGATCTTAAATTTTCTACCACTACAAACTCAGAAACCAAAGAAGAAGGATGACTAAGAAAAATTTTAGAACACTTACTTAGTCTTGAAAAGCTTAAAATCACACCCTAAATATCTTATTAAAAACTCTTACCTTAAAACCCAGCACCGGTGAACTTGGCTCACAGACACTCTCTTTGCCTCAGCTCACGCACGAAGGAAAGAATGAAGAAATGAAGGAAACGAGTGAGTTTTTATAAAAATTTAGTGGGTCCCACATCTTTTTTTATTATTTCTTCTTTCCTCTCTCTCCCTTTTTTTATTATTATATACATAATCATTGCACCGAAAGCACTCACGTTTTATTTCTTCTTTCCTTCCTCTTTCTCATACCTTTTCTTTTTCTTTCTTTTTTATAATAATAATAATAATTTAATAATATTTTATTTATTTATTTTTAATTAATTAATTTTTTTTTAATTTTTTTAATTTTAATTTAGAATTATATCCTAAATTAGATTTAATAATCATTTTCTACTAATTTGCTTACCTCTAAATATTTTCAAAATTTCTATTAACCCAAATTAACTATTAAAATTTAAATTGGGATTGTTACAATTAAACTATACAAACACACACACACACACACACACACACACATATATTAAATATTAAATATTATAAAATATCATTACTATCCTTAAATACTTCAATTTAATTCTTTTAATTTATAAAATTAAAAATTATATTATTTATTTTGTTTAAAGTAAACTATAAATATAATTGATACAATATCATTTATATTATTTATTTATTTTTAGTTCTTGAGGTTGTTATATTATTTATTTTAATATTCATATTTATAATTATAATATAAAATATCTAAGAATAAATAGTAAAAATACTGATAATTATACATTAGTTTATAATTATTTATGTTTCTAAACTAGCATTAAGCTTTAAAGTTACTGGTGTTAAATATAGAATTTAAATTGAAAAATTAGATTAGATGAAATATCATTCTATGAATGAATAAATTTAAGTATCACATGTTTAATTATTATAAACAAGTATTTTTATTGACTTCTACATTGATCCGACGACTTATGCTTTCTCTCTCTTCTCTTCTATCTTGAATATTTAAGATTTTTTGCTTATTAGTTATAATTTTAAATTTAATTTATTTTAGTTATTAATTAGTCAAAAATATATATTAAAAATTTCATCTTTCAGCGGCGACATTTAAAGTCACTGCTAAAAGTCTTATTTTTAGCGGAGACACTAAAAAGTCATCGCTGATTCTCAACTTTCAGCAGCAACAGTAAAAGTTACCGCTGAAACTTACAACACAAGTTTTTTTAAAAAATTATAACATACTTTAAAATATGTTGACAATTAGCGGCGACACTAAAAAGTCATCACTGATTCTCAACTTTTAGCGGTGATAGTAAAAGTCGCTGTTGAAAGTGTGACTTTTTGCGGCGACATGCACTTGTCACTATTGAAAGTTTGACAATGAATGGCGACTGTATATTGTTGCCATAGAAAGTCACTATTTCAGCAGCAACTTCAAATGTCATCGTAGAAAGTCACACTTTCAATGGTGACTTTTACTGTCGCCGCTGAAAATTGAGAATTAATGGGCTAAAAGTCATTGGTTTTTGTAGTGATCCTAGAGCCACATCTATCACCACCTGCAGGGAACCAAATTTTGAAGCACTTGGATCTGATTAACAATTTAGCCCTTTCATGCTCACAATTAACCCTCAAACGAGGCCAACCATGCAAAGCATAGCTCATATGCTAAAGCCATGACAAGAGATTGCTCATAATTGAGTTGAGAATGAATTGTGCTGTTTGTTCACACTATGAATTTGCCTTGAACAATTTGCATAGCGAACGTGTCATGTTCATATGAAGATGGATGTATGCATGCCAATTTTCTTGATTGATATGTATTTTGCTGAGTGTTAAAATAATACTGCCTTGGTTCCAAATTATAAGATGCTTTGAGACAAAATCTTACATACCAATAAATTTCATTAAATACAGTTAACAACCTTATTTTTTCAGAATAATAATATAAACTTTGAAAAATTCCCTTCATTTAATATCAATGAATTTACACTTAATTATTAAAGAGAGAGAGAGACAAAGGGTAATATTGTAATAAGCTTTTTAATAAAATTTTAATCTTCTCCATGTGTCTTATATTTGAGATGTTAAATCTCTTCTAAAACATCTTGTAATTTAGGACAGAGAAAGTAATAAATTTTGTTTTTCTCTTAGTTAAAGTTTGATTAATAGTGACTCGTACTTAGATAAGCATGTTATATATAAGAGTTAATCAAAGTCTGCTCCTAATTTTTTTTTAAAAAAATAAACAATTTAGTGGAGTGTGGGACATTGACCTCGAATGATGATCAATTTTATTGTTTGCTGTTAAACTTGTGTCACTCGCAGAAGCAATAAACTATTTGTAGAGGTGATGTTTTGTTGCTAAAAAAAAGACTCCATTTATATCTTTTAACTATTAAATATAACAAAAGAAAAATCTCATTAGAGGACCCGTAAAAATATTATTCACAGATAAGACTAATAAAAAAATAAAAATTAATTTTTTTTTGTTATTAAATGAGAACATGAACTCTTTTTTTTTTTTTTTGAAATGATTACATGTCATGGATCCTTGTCTGCGAATAACTTTTTTCTCAGGTCTTTGAATGCGATGTTCCCTATATAAAAAGTGATAATAAGAATGGTTATAAATAAATTTAAAAAATAATAAATATACAGAACAAACTAGTTGGAAATAAAATAATCAACATAATCCATGAATGTCATAATCTTCAAGCAAAACACGATAGAACTCAACTTATTTTAAAGGCAGTTCAACACTAGCCATTAATTGATCACCGGCAACCATTATTCCAGCAGCTGGTGCATTCACAAACGTCCTTCAAATGCAGGGTTGTTAAGGGAAATGAGTCAACTCAGATTAGTTAGCAGTTCAGGAAAAAGACCAAAAACGGTCCTTTCCCCCCCAATTTTAAGCTAATTTTAATGGAAAATGAGGAACGTTTTCCTTTCTATATTACTTTTTATATTTTAGTTTCCTTGCTTTTTTTCCTTCTGATTTCTTAACTAGATGTTTACTTCCTATTGCTTTTTTTCTTTTGTCTTCCTTTAAGTTGTGTCCATTTCTTTTTTTTTTTTACCAACTTTGTTATTGTGTTTTTTCTTTTGTCATTTTCACTTTATCTTCTTTCCTGTTTCTCCTTTACTTTCTTTCTTTTGCTTTTTTCTTTAACTTCGTTTCGTTTGTCCTTTTTCTTCTATTTTTAATTGACAATTATTGCCCCCCTCTCTCTGTAAATAAAAGCCCGGAAGCCAAGAAATTATCAGGTCAAGCAGAACACATTTATCTTTAAGCAGAACACATTTAATAGATCGCTTTCCTTCTCTTGTCCTCCTTTAAATTTTGTTGATTTCTTTTTCTTATAATGGTTAACTCGATAGCAAACCAATCATCTTGACTAATTCATCCTTCCAACAACCCCTCAATTGATCAGGATTGTCAACAGTGTTAATCACCTAGTTAATTTGTAACCCTAAAATCTATATAAAAAAGTCATGTATCATTTCATTGGAGTAGGAAATTTATTTGTGGTCTTATTCCACTCATTGCCTCACCCCCATAGGTTTGGGATTGTATATTACAAAAAGGTCTCTTTATACCATTTACGTTTGCCAATATATATATATAAAATAGTTTTTAATCAGTATTTACAAATAACCGTCACATAGTTTGCTCCAGTTTTGTGTCCCATGAACCTTTCCTATATGAGGGTTTTCTGAAAGTAACCATTATATACTTACCAAATATATAACAGTTATTTTACAAAAATCGCTCGATAGTTAGCGACAATTTTTTTTTTCTTTTTGTAGTTAGCTCCAACAGTTAGTTGATTGAGAAATGTGATGTGTTTAGCTTTGGTGTTTTGATGAGGTTCTCATGGGGAAGCATCCAGGTGATCTGATTTCTAACATACAAACATTTGGAGTTCAAAGCGTCAATTTAACGGAGATCCTAGACCCACGTCTATCACCACCTGCGGGGAACCAAATTTTGAAGGACTTGGATCTGATTAACAGTCTAGCCCTTTCATGCTTATAATTAACTCTCAATCGGCCAACCATGCAAAGCATAGCTATATGCTAAAGCCATGAACAAGAGATTGCTCATAATTGAGTTGAGAATGAATTGTGCTGTTTGTTCGCACTATGAATTTGCCGTGAACAATTTGCATAGCGAACGAGTCATGTTCATATGTAGATGGATGTATGCATGCCACTTTTCTTGATTGATATGTACTTTGCTGAGTGTTAAAATAATAGTGCCTCGGTTACAAATTATATGACGTTTTCAGACAAAATCTCACATATCAATAAATTTTATTAAATATAATTAATAATTTTATTTTTTCAAAATAAAAATATAAGCTTTTAAAAATACCTTTCATTTAATATCCATAAATTTACACTTAATTATTAGAGAGAAACAAAGGATAATATTGAAATAAACTTATTTAATAAATTTTGATCTTCTCAAAGTGTCTTATATTTTAAGATGTTAAATCTTTCCTAAAATATTTATAATTTGAACAGAGAAAGTAATAAATTTTGTTTTTCTCTTAGTTAAAGTTTGATTAATAGTGACTCGTACTCAGATAGGCTTGTTATATATAAGAGTTAATCACTGTCTGCTCCTAACTTTTTTTTTTTTAAAAATAACAATTTAGTGGGGTGTGGGGCATGGACATCGAATGATGATCAATTTTATTGATTGCTGTGAAACTTCTGTCACTCACAGAAGCAATAAACTATTTGTAGAGGTGATGTTTTGTTGCTAAAACCAACAAAAAAAAAATTTCATTTTATCTTTTAACTATTAAATATGACAATAGAAAAATCTCATTCGAGGACATGTGAGGAATATTATTCACATATAAGATTAATAAGAAATTAATTGTTTTTTTTATTAAATGAAAATATGACCTTGTCATTTTTAAAATGATTACATGTCATTGATCCTTGTCTGCAAATAACTTTTTTCCTCGGTCTTTGATGCAATTTTCCCTATATAAAAAGTGATATTAACAATGTTTATAAATAAATTTAAAAGATAATAAATATTCATTACAAAC